CGCTTTCAGGTTTCATGATAATTCAGAATGTCTGCTCAAATACAGCCACCTGTCTATGGTTTTGCTGTCTACCTCAGCATTTTTCTACACAGGCAGCAAATCCCAATCAGTCTGGTTTTGCAACACAAATGCATGGGATTAGTGACTCCAAGAGCAAACAGAGTCAGTCTAAATCCTGTATGACAAGTGAATGATATTACTTCACAAGTATGAAATCTGAGATTTCTTTGCCTTTAACTTAAAAAACCTGTACGAAACAATCACATTAAAGTCTGTTTGGCATGCCAGACAGCTTTTACTTCCTCTGTTATTTTTACAATTTGAATATCCTTTGTAGTTACTGAAATTAATTTATGCCTTTCTGCAAATTTTTTTTTAAACTTTTTATCTATAAAGGTAGGTATTGTCAAGTACAATATACTTCTGTAATTTCACATCTAAGTGCTTCTTCTCAATTTTTGAATTCAGCAAAAGCTGACAATCATTATAGAACTTCATAAGGCTTGGTATTTATCAAATCAAACAATCTAATTTTTGCAGAAATAGTAGTCTTGAAACTCCATTCTATTCATTATTTGTAGTATGTTACAGGGTGTTCACAGTGCTTAGGAAATTCAAACATAACTTTTTTACCTTGTCTTAAAAGGTCAATTATTTCCTTAAGTACTGGAGGGCAGGAATGAGAACTAACCCTGGAGCAACAAATTCAGCAAGGAAAATGGGTCAAAGAACAGATGTTTAGAGGATGACAGAGAGCAACGGTACAGGTAACCAGGTCAGCAGGCAGGAATCCCGATTGGAGTAAACTGAACTCCATTTCCCTTTTGTAATCAAAATACTTGAAAATCTAATTTATAATGCTAGCCAATTGCAATAAAAATGACTTAAAAATTCGTAGAAGCTTTCAGTTGTGAAAAAATAAGAATTCAACTGCTAAGCCAGCTGAAAATCATCTTTATGGAAAAAGGTTGCTGAATTCCCAATATGCACATACTAAAATGACAATTAGCAATTTAAATAATTAAACATACCAATAAAATGAGCACAACCACCTCATCTATTTTGGGTTGATTATTCATTGGCTGTTAAAAGAGGTCTTCCTGAACAGAGACAAGATAAACATATCCTATATTTAACATGACAAATGTTAAAGTAATAAGTCTTCTGACAGTATGTGTGCACCACAGCTGTAAGCTTAACCCAGCTCTGAGCTGAAAAGCATAGGAATATGTTGCAAAGATATTTATGCTGGTATCACATGAGGCAGCATAAATAGAAACAGTAGAGCTGAATGAGCTCAGGGGCACTACTGCATGGACATAGTCGTTTATTGATGGATTTTGGCTGGCACTCCTAGTAGCCTGCAGTAGATGTACCTGTTTGGATGGGGAATCTGGTAGTCATATCCCTATAATGGGCCTTATAGTAATCCTCATTTGTGCGGTATTTTGGGAAATGACAATTGACAAACTTAAATGTCTACCAGACTCCAATTTGAATAGTAGTAGAGAAAAAAAAAAACAAAACTAAAAGAACACTTTGTTAGGAATTACTGAATTTAAGAACAGTCAAGCCAAGGTATATGCAACGATTACTAACCAACTATGGTGACTATCTGGCTTTAATTTGATGTTTTTAAAAATGAGTTCACACATGCTTCCAATTGTAGGGACGGTTTTGTTTCTTCCTCCTTTCCTCCTAGATAGCTTGCACTTGCTAGTCTAATCATGGACCATATGAAGAGAAGGACCTAACCTCAGGCAGAATCACTACACTGATGATGCTTCTTGCAGGTCTTTGTTAAAGGCCTGCAAATATAGAGACTCCACAACAGCTTATTCAAATGCTTTATCATCTCCATTGTAATTCTTTGCCCCTCAATCTCTAACTCCGCAGTCTGTGATAAAATTTGAGGTAATTACTTCTTGCCCTATAAAACTAATACTGTGCACAAGCCCCTTCCTCTCTACAGTTCTCTTTTTATGTAGTTGAATACTTACACCCTCCATTCATATTTTCTTTCAGTTCAACAACATAAATTCCCTCAAAAGCTTTCCTTGTAGGTCACACCTCAGAGACCTATTATTCCCTTTATTCTCATCTGAACTCTTTATATTGAGTCACATGTTTAAATACAATCCTGAAAACTAGACACAAACTGAGGATGTAGATACAGATTTACCATCCTCCTGTTTGTATGTTCTCAGTGAGATGCTTGCCTTTCTCACGTCGCTATTTGTTGACTTGTACCTAGCTCATTATCTCCGATAATTCCCATGTTTCTCCTGCTGTTTAAGAGTTACCCCTAGCCAGTTGTTTGGCATATTTTATTTGTGAACCTGATCACCATCTTGCTGTGTGTGCTTCCACGTATTTTCTGTTTAACTTTGCTGTATTTTTTACATCTAGTTTTTCCAATTTGTCCTGACCTTTTTGAATTCTACTCATCTTCCAATACGCTTTCAGTTCTTTCTCTTATTTCTCATATTTTACATGTGCTCGCCAGATTCTGGGGTATCAAAGTCACATTCTAGCAAAATCAAAGAAGAATTTTCCAAGCTGAACAAATCTCTCTGGAAAGAGTCAGATGCACAAACTTTTGGGGCCTTCTCTGTATGTGAAAAAAGCAGTATTAAAACTCTGAGCATTAGAAACTTTGCTTCATACTGTTCCAAGACTCATTAACATAATGGCAGGATGAAAATTCAGAAATATATTTAAAAACCCCTCCAAAACAAATAAAGCCACAAAACTAAGTTAAAACAACACCATGAATCTGAACAGTTCTCCAAAGCCAAGAATATTCTTCTCAAGTAAAAACAGAATTTACTTTTTTAAAAAAAGAAGCAGTTTAAGACTGCTTTTTAAATAAAAGGAATTTCTTTGGGGTGGTTAGAGGGAATGAACTTCACTGATGCTTTTCTGCTACACATGAACAGTTTCAGCTTATTCTTTAAAAAGTATTGACATTTTTCTAACCTTTTTTTGCTGAGGAAGAAAGCTTTGAGACAGAAGCAACAATGGAGAGATCATTTTGGACTGGACTACTTTGAACTGTTTTTATTAACACCTGTTTAGCTCATCTACTATTAAAATGGGTGTGAATGCTTAAAATCACATGGAAACAAGCACACTGTACCTTGTCAATCCTTTCTCCTGTAGTTCTCTAACTGTGAAAGGAAAACCAAGCCTTATTGCTCTTGGTATTTTACAGGAGAAGAAACAAGCAAGGCTCAAGTTTTTAAAAAGTATTTCCTGTGTCACAGAAAATGTCAGAAAAAACAAATTCAAATTCGCCCTTGAATGTTTTTCTTTTTAGCGCATTTGCCAGATAACACACTCTCTGCTTGACTAATGTTAAATTAGATGTAAGCAAGGGATTCCCAAACTCTGCTACACCAGCTATTTCAGAACAGCGCCTCATACACCAAAACCTATCTCCCCGCATCTCTCCCAGTGGAAAGAAGGAACAGTGGTTTAGGCAGCAAATGCAAACATCTCTTTCTCTGTGCCCAAAAGTTCAAGAAAACCAGAATTTTTCCCTGCAGTTTTAGTGTTAACATTTCTTATTCAACTATGGTGATGCCCAAGCAGAATAAGCTGTAAATTTAGATGCTATTCTATGTTACCTTCAACAAATATAAAGGATAAGCTATACATCTTGTTCAACAGCTGAATGGATATAGCTGAAGTAGTTCCCAGTTTCAACATTTCAGATACTGGTGCAGCAACAGTTTGAGATCCAGAGGAGTTTCCAGGAAACTTTTGTTTGCTTCCTCCTAAAACCTAATCACTGCAATTCTGCAATGCAATGATAAAACCAGCAGAAACTCTAATAAAGTAGTCTGTGTCAGGAAAGCTGACCTAGCATTATCAGCAGTTAGAAATTTTTAGAGAAGTAAAAACTTGTGTGGCGAACACTTACACTAATCATATAGTTGGAGGTCCCTAGAAGCAAAAAGGATTACACTCAGACCTTTCTCCACACATAAAATCCCTGAAAATTCCTTTTTTCATAGAAGAAAATAACAGCTCTTAGAACATACACCTTTCTTTCATTTCTCTTTCCAGTTCACTGAAAAGAGCAGCATGTTGCTCAGGTCTTCTCACCTAATGATAGAAGCAAGCAAGCTTTGGTTTTTTTCCAGTACTGGATGTGTGCAAGTATGGTGGCCAAATATATTTTGCAAAGGATTCTTAATAAAGAATATTTTACACCTATATCAAGGAATAAAGCAGAAAACAGGTGCAAAAGGGAATCTTAAGACAGTGTTAGTTTCGTGATGGCTGTAGGTGGAACCATTTCGCATGTCTGTATTATCAGTATCAAGAAAACCAATCAGTTTTTCCAAAAATCTCAAAAGATCTTTCCTATGCACACTGCATATTACCAAGCCCTGTGAAATAGTTTTGCTGTTAATATCTGCTTAGTAAAACGTAGCGTCTTTCTAATGATGTCACTCCACTTCAGTAGTATGAATACTTCAAGGAGTATGATAAACAACACTAAACAGAATAACCAAAAAAAGACCTGGTTTCATTTGCATAGCTGGTTAGTAACTTCTTGCTTACATCCACTTATTTGTAAATAATACATGATGGTCAAAAATAAGAATGCAAATGGCTTGTTTTCTAGTATATGTGAGTAATAAATTGTATAGACATATTAAAACCTTAAAAATTACTTGTAAAAATATCTTTTTGTGATTATATGAACAGGGGAAAAAAAATCCCACCAAACCACTTAAGAAGTACACAAATTGCCCAGAAAGCTACAACGGGTTATGTTTCATTGTAGCCAGAGACTTTGTTACCCATTGTTTAAGATAAATTCCTGAAAATATAACAAATAAAGAACATCTAATCTCAAAAAGTACATCAACAGATTTAACCATTATTCTCATTAACCCCTCCAGAGCCTATAAAATAGGGTCGGCTGAAAGGGCCTTCAAATGGTCCTCAGCAGACACAACATCATGTTCTAGTGATCTATTGCTTGAAAAGTCTTTTACAGCCTAGCCCTTAAGGGTTTTAAGATCATAACACTTAAAATCCCTAAGTACAAGCTTTCTTTGATATCTGGTACAATACTATAAAATATGTATTAACAAGGATATTAATCATTTTACACAATATCATTATTAACCATGCTATAATCCAGAAAAAGGGACTGAAATAGTATCCTATGTATAACTTGTTTTAAAGTTTGTACAGATATTTCAGATTAATTAATGGAAACCACCTGTCTAAACACCAGTAGCTCATTTACATTTATTAAGGACTGGCTTGAAACAGAAATGTAATCTTTAACCACGTCACACAAACATTTGCTTGCAGTAAAAGGAGGTTGCTACAAAATCCAAAGCGCATTGTTTTTCTGTTATTGGGTTACAGTAGCTCAAGTCTGTAAGCACCAGAATCCCCCATCCAGCTGATCAGTTACAGCTGTTAATTGTGGAGGGAGAGACTGCCTGACATCTGCCTCTTGCACAGTTAGTTAATGGTTCACTTCCAGGTCCTAAAAGGATTGTAGCCTCTCTCAAAAGACAATGTTGGCCCCCATATATGCCTGCCTTCTACACTGCCTGTCTTGTTCTGGTTTGTCACTCTCTATACAATGCAAATCTGAGTGAACTCACATCTGCTACTGATCGACCCAATTCGTGAGCAATCTTTTCCCATCGACCTGGGGTCCCCCCTGGGAACTTAACCATACTTCTTGTCAGCTGGCTGAGGTCCTCCTCTGTCCATTCAGGTGCCTGTAAAACATTTGTAAAACATTCATTACACTGGGATATTGGACATATTTTTGTGAGGTAATATACTGAAAAAAACTTCAAACAAATTAATCAAATAATGTAAAAAATTAAAATTAATAGTTTCAAGTCTGGGTACCATATCCCTGTGCTGTTGCCAAAAATGCATAAAAACAACAGACCAACAGTAAGACGCTAAAAATCCTTAACGCTTAAAACCCACATTTTGTATACTGTACACACTAGCACATTCAATTTCTATCAACATTTATACAGTGTACATAACACTATAAAAAGCAGTAAAGGTAAAAAGCAACAATACTCTTATTAAAGATTAGATCACAGTTTAAAAGTTTTAGACATTTATTTAATTGCATGTAAGATTTTTCAGCAAAGATAAGACATGCTCATTTTTACATTTTTAAAAAAGTCTCTAAATAAAGCAGAACAGTTACATTCACTTTTTGTCACGGTACTCATCCTATGTTTTAGCATTCTCGGATGATTCCGGAATGAAATCTGTTGATTCTAATATTCCATTAAGACTATTAAACACCTCCCCACTCCCCCAAACACAAGTATGCCACAAAAGCAAACCAGATGCTGCTACCGCCCAATAACCAAAAGATACAAAAATGTTTTGCTCTAACTACAATCTGTTAAACAAACCTGTCTTCATAACAGCCAAATAAAAGCGAACACAGCAAGGAAGAGACAATTATCACAGTTTAAGGCATGAAATCACACTTGTCTCAGAGGGCAAGACGCAGTAACCATCTTTGACATTTGCAGCATCTTTGGCAACGACCACAGCGCCGTATCTTTGTTACCATCGGTAGTTTGCCATTTTATTTATTTTTGAGGAATTCTTTATGACATACCTCTCCTAATCACCATTTCCGATAATGAACTGGCGCATATCAAGCGGTTTGCATTACAGAGCCATCAGCACAGAACAACAGTCAGAGGTGAGTGACCCCAGGGACCATCTCCACAACTACAGCAAAGCTTCTCCCTGACACTAATCCTGCCTGTCATTCTCCCACTGTGCTCTAACCGCACTGACATCCGCCTGCCGCACTGCGAGCTTAACGGGGCCCTTCCTGACTTTTTACTGTCTCCCCCAATCAATGGTTCAAGCGTGCTCTTTTCACCATGTCCAAATGGCAGCTTCACTCATAATCAAAGTGCATTGCTCCTGTTAAAGGGCTTCCCGAAAGGCTCCACCATTTGCATTCATTTGCAAAGCAAACTACTTTTATTCACTTTGTTCTGCTATCAAGAGTGTTCCCTGAAGCAGATAAATTGGCATAAATACAACCTGCCACTTAAAACGACAGTAAATAATAGCCAATAGTAGCAAGGATTTCATCAATCGTCCTAGTTTGGATCCATGTAGTCCTTTATTCAGTGCTGAAAGCCTCCAATATTCATATTCGGATAGTTTTTAATACAAGTATAAAATGAATTATCTATGATGATTCAAACACAAGACGCTTAAATAATGGGTGTGTATGTGAGAGATCTTGCACATACATTACATGCATTATCACACAATTACGCTCTGGCCTACAGAAGAAATGATAAATACATAGAAGATCTCCACATTGCACGATAACCTTATTACTTTTATTGTATTAAACAAGTTAATATATTCCATTTATTTATTTATTTCCTTATACACCATATATATTTTATACTAAAATAGTTCTCAGGTTTTCAGAAGGGAAGATTTGGGGTAATGTCCTACTTATAAAAGCTTTCATCATTTAATTTAAATAATTTAAATTAATTTAATTTAAGATTTTTGGTTAAAAGCCTTTTGTTCAAAATCTGTCAAATTTCATGCCTCAAAATTAGCTTTAATATGCAGTTTACTGTAATTTTCTATTAAAATTGTATTAAAACTTTGTGGGATTTTTTACTGTTGTTTTAGGGGGGTGGCGATTGTTGTTTCAGTTTGTTTATTTGTTAAGTAAATTCACAGCTATTCTCTTACTATATCCAAAGCATATCTAAGCAGTTACACACAGAAATCAAGATGATTTTTCAGTGATGTACACAGGTCAGAAGCTTTCTGGTAAGTTTTATTTTCAGACTTCTTCAGTAAGCTTTGATTTTCCTGTGTGTTCACAACTCCGCTAACCACTTGTAGATATTACAGAACTCATAAGGTTCTCTTCCTAAATAACTGACAAAACTACAATCATTCTGTAGATCTGTAGCTAATTACATAGCTAATTCACAGCACAAGAATTCATTAGCTACATTAAAATATCAACTTGTTAATCTTACTTCAAGCTGACAATTTTAGAATGTGAAGATCTAAAACATTTATAAATTTGGAAAAATCTGTGAAAAAGCTTTTAGAAAATCCACTCTGAACTGCTAAAGCTGTAAAAGAGCTTTGGTGAATTTGCAGTTCCTCAGCAAGAGTTAATTGTGTCTTTAGATGCAACAGCGCCTACTGTGATCCAACTACTACAAACAGCTATGAGGGTGGTCATGGTGTGAATGTATTCTCCCTGTTCTAATCTGTAGCCAACTGTAACTGCGAGAGTCAAATGAATGCATAAACATACTGCTTTGTCACCTAAAACCATGTGTGTCCAATATTACTGAAACACTGGGCCAAGATTCATCACTACAGTAAAGCAATGGAAGACACCACACGGTGAGGGGACAGCTGTTGTTACTACACAAGCATTCAGATTTTGCATCAAAAAAGCCCCATTCTGGGATTAAATCCCCATACTGAATACAAAATTAAAAGTACAGAGTTATAGTCTATGGTCTTTAAAAGGAAAATAAGCTACAAGTGTAGCTATAAAAAATTCATAGCATTCCCATAAATAATAATCCTTTAACATGGTTTATCATACATAGCTGGCAGTATTGAAGGATTAGTTCACTCAAACCACTACGCACCTTCTACAGAACAGAAATACGAATGTGCTTTGTTGTTTAGCATCACTCTTCTGTGTGCATCTGCACTTAGCAATTCCATACCGCCTCTTTCCGCATGACAGAGGTTTACACTATTAGGATTTTTTAAAAATGCAAGCAATTCTATTTTCCATTACATTAAAAGCAAATTTTTAGACAACAAAGCATTTCTTTTCAAGAAAACAGTGACTTGTTTAGACCTGTTAACGTTAATCAGTATAAAACTATACACCTTTTTATTGACAAAACTGGGAAGTAGCTAGTATTTAGAAGTTTCTTTATAAACTCTCAAAGTTATTTATATTGACTTGACAATATGAGATAATTTGATATTTTTAGATTAAATTTTAGCTTTAGACTGTTTCTTCCTGTCATCAATATACTGTAGATTCAATTAAAAATCACTGTTTTATGGAAGTTTGGCTAATGATTTCAACCTGGCTAGGACTTCATGCTATGTTCCATCTAATTTTTGTGATTCACTGATTTGAGCATGTCTAGTCCATGATCTTAAATAAAACATGAGGCAGCATCTATTTAAAAATAACTGTGCAAACATTTGTAGAAGAAGAGTCCTAGTAAAATCCCAGACAGTTTTGCAAATCAGGAAACATTTAACCTAGGTTGTGTTTCTACCCAGTACCTGTAAGAACACAACATTGTAAAACTTTTCCTGATTTAATTTCCTGCACATAATGTCTTATTTTTCTTACAACAGTCTTCTATATTCTTACAATTTCTTGCTTTACCTGTAAGAAGTCTGAAGTCAGTCTTGTTTTATCAAGTTCAATACACATCCGGCATTGTGATCCAGCTGTTGCTGAACACTAAGGATCTGCTACACTTCTAAAAATCTCTTGTGAAGCTTTAAAGATCTGCTAAAGGGTATTAATGATCCAAATTCATATTCAAAGCCACGTGTTCATATAACCCTTTGGTCCTTCAGAGCTCTTACGCAAATCAAACTTCCACTAGTGCCGTTTTTAAGTGAGCCAATAAAACCAGTCAGCTGTACTGTTTCAGAGCAATGGTCAAGGTAGGCCAGTAAGCTCATCATTTGTCCTCAGGGAGGGCAGCTGCAAAAAACTTTACTATATACTTTGTGATAACAAGAAAGACTATGTTTATCATTCATCCCTTATGGCCCCACTCTGCTCTGAAAAAAAAAAACGGACCATATACAGATACCAAGAGTACAAGGAAGGCAAGCATATAGGTTACCTATACTTCCCATAATATTTCCTCAAGCCCCAATTATTTTCAACTCAAGGATTTTCTCTAGGCTGATATACTTTATCTATTTAATAACTCTAAATGAATCTGTCTTTCAACGTTTTTTCCAGTCTCCCCTGAAACAGTGTAAACATTCTAGATTTGCAATATCATCTCTACGAGGAGTTAGCTGCACACATTTGCTACCCATTATACAAGGAACCACCTATTTTATCTGTTTTGAACTTGGCTCCTGCTAGCTTTGATGACATCTAGCTCTTGACTTTGAGTGAAGAACCAGCAAATAGTCTTATGTCTACAGACTTCTCATCACTCACATCTTTGTTCAAAATATCCCTTCATAGCGTTCCCTCATAAGTTGTCTCTTCCTGGCTAAAGAGTCCTAATCTACTTAGCTGGTTTCTCATGTAAAAGCCATTTTATGCATAACACTGCCCATGAAGCCTTTCTCTAAACCATCTGCAATTCCATTGTAACCAACCTCTTTAAATGAGGTACTGAACTGCACACAGCAGGATTAATCATAAGTTTACACAGTGGAATAAGGATTCTTCTGTTTTGCTCTCTATTCCTTTCTTCATGATTTCCAGCATCTGCATTGCTTTTTGGAATGATCCTGAGCTGATGTTTTAAATGAAGCCATCACTGGTAACTCCTAAGATCTCACTCCTCAAGGATCATGGCCAGGTCAGAGTATATTGTCTTGTGCACGAAGTTAGAACGTTTGCATCACTTTATATTTACATACTGGGAAACTTCTCTGTCATTTTATTGCCCAAGCAGTCAAACTCATAAGATCACTCTGCAGTTCTTCAGTGTCTGTT